GTTTGAGTTGGCTTCAAGTTCTGATGTTTATGCAATATAAATTACTAGAGAGGCTAAGGCATTGCCAGTAACTGAACTTCTCTTATTGGATGGATACTTAGCCATAGCACACAGTGAGTTGAATCTTTTCTGTGTCTGTGTGGAAACATACACACAGAACTACTGGGGTCAACTAGACTCTTCACTTAGGAAGTTAGTCTAGATACAGTTAATGAGATGTTGGAGTAAGAGATGCCTGAGAAGTTCACACTTCTCATGGCTCATTTCTACCCCTTCCAGGAAAGGGCTCTCCCTCTCATGTTGCACCAATACATTTGTTTGTAGGACTAGCCTGCATATGGATCACCAAAAGTTTTGAGGTTATAAAGCCATTCTCCCCCATTTCAGTGAGCTTTGGATGTAGGACAGGATAAAGTATTAGTTGAGTAAATGACTTTTGTGGTATATCACAGGCAATTAAACTTTGCACACATTTCTCCTGGATTGAGTACCATGACAACAAGAAAATCCTGGTGCTGAATCACACGTGAATGTTAAACTGTATTCTAAGCAATTTGGTGCACTGTCAAAATGTTTCAGGCAGTGAAAGGGCAGTTTTATGGGTAGAGTATAAGGGGTCTATGCTCTGAACATCAGTGGGAATTCAGTGTTACCCTGAAGAGCGTGCCTGCTTTCTGCCTGAAACTCAGAGATGGGGATGTTCACCTCAGAGACATGTTGTGAGGTCTAGTTGTTATACTCTGCAGAATCCTCTCTTGTTTGTGGCAGAGGATATACCAGGTAGGAAACTAATTGTTTTTGAAATGCATAACCTCTGCCCCAAGTCACAAATCCAGCTCTTACAGATATGGACTTCTCAAAGACTTGAGTCTGATCAAAGAGACAATAAAACAAGATTTTTCTCAAGGGTTTTCAATTGATGGTTTTGAAGAATAGTTAGTTTTTTAAAGTTCTAATTAACAGCTGAACAATTTCTATTTGTGCTTACTTGTTCTTATTTCCTATTGTCTTTTTAAGACCGCAGCTTTTTGTTACTGCTTCTGAGCAGGCACTGCATTTTGGAAGGGTTTCTCTAGCAAAACAGAGAAATACTGGCTGTATTTAAGCATCATTTGTTGTTGTAAGGGCTTATAGTTCATAAGTAATGCTGTTGCTGAAGAATGATTCCAATATAGCAACCTTAACAGAACTTCCTATGCTGGGAGATCTTTTCCCAATGGTGTGTGTGTGTGTGTGTGTGTGTGTGTGTGTGTGTGTGTGTATAGATACATATATACCCATATCTGTAATTGCCCAGCTCTGCAGTGTTCACTGTGCATTGCTCAGTTTAACCTGGCTAGCTCTTGTTGTGAATGGGGGCAATATATCTTGTATCCAAGTCTGGCTAAACCCTTTGCATTTAAAAGGATCGGAGTTAATCAATTCATAGCTATGCTGAAAGTTTATTAGGAATTCTTCTTTGTTAAGCACAGATAATACCTAAAAACCTAATTTCTCCTTCATGCACATAGTCACAAACAAGAATTTTTAACCCTTAATGGTAATTTACTAGCCATAGGAATTATAGAGGCAATGTAAATTTTTTGTTGTTGTTTGAAAATAAGGAGTGCAGGTAATACAGAATATAAAAACAAATTAAACCCCTGAAATGACAGCAGTGAATGCTGTTACACTTTCATGTGTGTGTTTCATGATATCGACATAGTTGAAAATATACATTTGTGTGAGCTGTTTTAAAGATGGATGCATCAAGAAAGTACTTCTAGGATTGACTCTTTGGATTTGAATGCATTTCCCATAAAAATGTGGTTTTATTTTTACTGCTGCCAATCTAAAATTGGGTAACTGTGTGCAAATCGGTGTATTGCTTGGAGCCTGAGACCTCCATTTTGCCAGTGGAGGTAGCATTGTCTTATTCCCAGCTTCCTTTTATTTTATTTTGATTTTCTTATGCTTTGGTTTTGCTAGGCTCTTATGGGACATATTCTCCTCTTCCAGTGTAAATACGTAGGACTTGCACAGAGATTCTAATGAAGATTGGCACTGCTGGGTATTAATAAACTATAAAAAATAAACACTAATTATTTGAATCTTTCTCATCCCGTTTCTACTTCAGTGGATCTTTCTTTAGTAGGCTTGTTTGCAATTTAAAGGGCTAAGTAATGTAACAGAGTTTTCCCTTCTGAAATTTAGTTTGGTTTTCTGTTTCTTGCAGTGGTAGTGTTAAGGGATCTGGTCAAGAGAAGGTACAACACAGCAGCAGTTATTTGTACTTGGATATAAGACTTCCAGGAAGCTATTCAGGCCCTTCTGAATTCAGTAAGGATTCAGTAAGGATTCAGTAGCATTGTTGTCTCTGTTTTAGTGAGAACTTAATTCTTCTTTCTGGTTTTACAGAAATTTTCTTGGATTCCAGAAAAAAAGCTTTAAGTGTTTCAATGGTGTTTCTCTCAATCCAACAACACTCAAAGCCATTCCTTTTCAGTTTGATATGAGGCCAGAAAAATAAATGCCCAGAAAAGAATCAAAATTTGACCTTCCAGTTCAGTTGTGACAAAGCCATTTGAAAAATCATTTGGGAGCAAGGGGGAATCTCAGATTAATCATAGATGTACTTTTTCTTAATTTATAACTACAACTACAAGTATCTTTTTAAGAACATTTAGTAAGAACATGTGCAATTTTGGCTGGATGTTCAGAGATAATTCCCTGAGATGACTTACTGCTGTGTTTTGTAGCGAGATTGTTGCTCATAAGACAGGGGATTAATATGAATTATCTAGCCAAAATCAAGCTTTTATAAATGGTATTTACTTGTTTGAAGGTGGTGTGGGTGGGAAGCCCTGCCTCTGTAGCATTTCCAGAGTAGTTTGCTTTTCTGTAACAGTTCGTTAACAGTTTCCCTGTTACAGCAGGCAGCAGGAAGACCTACAAAAAATTATTAACCACATTTAGCCAAAAGCCTTCAGGTTCTTCACAACTGTGGTAAATATCAGCCATTAAATAGATCTCCAGAGAATAAGAGGATCATCTGAATAGATCTTGTATTTTGTTTTTTGAACTCGGATTAACCCAAGGATTCTTCTGCCTCCATACTTGATTTGCCACTTTCTATAGCCAAGGCATGAACTGGAACCTTTTGTAGGATGTATAAAGAGGTCAATATGTCCTTTGGGCTAAGAATAGGTGTATTGTTGTCAGGATACCTAACATAGGGTTATATCCTATATGTACATCTGTGTGTATATTGATACATAAATGAAAGATAAATCCCCAGAAGTAGTCATGGATACCTTTGCTGTCTCTTTATTGTGTATACGTCTAGTTTTAATAAGGCAAACTGTTGATATCAAGTTTTCAAAAGGATCATTTTCTATCAAAGTGGTGAAGGGGGAGTCGTGGGGTGCAGAACTTTGTTCCTAACAGCAAGTAACAGCTAAATTCAGATCCGAATTCAGCTTCAAGCTTAGAAAAACAGTAGAGAAGCAAGGATGTTTTCATGCGTGTCAGACTTTTAAGCTAAGGTCTCCTACACTTGCTTTATGCAAGTACTAAATAACTCTATATTTTATAAATTAAGTAGGTGGACATGATGATAAGAAATTATTAACTTGGCAGGTGTACCTAAAAAAGATGGAGAAGTACAGTCAATATAAGCCTTCTGCTGAATTTCACAACTCAAGCATGTAGGTGTGCACATGGACAAAATTAGTCATTAAGTAGAAAAGTAGTAAGAGAATGTAATGTTATAAAATGTGTTGACTGTTTAACTTGCTTCCCGTTCCTTATTATTCTCTGGGTTGCAAAGCAAAATAGTGCCTACCCTTTAAGATGCTTGTGATCAATGAATGACACAAACAGAAGTGAGACAAGGGCAAAAGTGCAGTTAAGATTTTTTTCAGTACTTAATCAATTACATACTACTTGATGGGATAATTTGTGGTGGCAAAACACGAGTAATACTTAAGCTTTCAGGCAGCTGGAGGACAATATGAGGTGGTGCCCTTCTTTCAGGGCAACTGCTGTGGGAAATAAGAGATGCAGGAGAAATATGAACGTGTATGCAGAGTTTTGCCTGCTGTCTTGCTTTTCTTGCCCTAAAAGAGACAGAAAGGGCAAGAGAGAGAGAGTGAGTGTGTGTGTTATATGGGAATATTCAACTATAAGAGTGGTTCTAGACTCTCCAGAAGTCTATCTCCAGACAAAAAGTTGATAGTTTTGAATATAAGCTATAGTGAAGGTATAGTTTTGTTTGATTTCCCCCCCCCCAATACTTACAGAGTACAGTAAGAAGGAAGGAAGTTTTCTCTTCATATTACTAGCAGGACGGTTTTTTACATTGTATTTGATGCAGTGCTGATTTGGGTTTATTTTGTTGTTTGGTTTGGTTTTTTGTTGTTGGTTTCTTTTTGCCAAAGTAGAGAGGCGTTTTCATTCAAATTGACTTGGGTGGATTTGGTTTTGTTTCTTTTGGTAACCAGGGGATGGGGAGTAGGGAAGAAGCAAAATTTTTTATTTTCTCAAGCCTTTAAAATCTTTCTAATTGAATGCTGGCAGTTTTCTAAACAAAGATGTCACTTCAAAGTGAAAACAGATGAGTTCATTACAAAAAAAAAAAGAGAAAAAAGTTTAAGCTCTTCTAAAATAAAATCCTCAATTTTACTGCATTCACAATAAAACTGGGCTAATAATAAAACTCCTTTATTTTTTCTTAGCCCTTTTAGCACGCATATAATAAAGTCCTCAAAAAGTGCTCTGTCTGTGTTTTAGTTTCAACTCCCGGCTGACACCATGTCTTTTTTTGCTAATCTCACTGTTAAAGTTCCTTTGCCCTTTCATTTTTCCCTTTTTACCTTCCTCTTTTTTTTTTCCCCCCATGCTGTTTCTTATAAAAACAAGGTCTCAAAGAGTAATCAATGAAGTTAAAGCAACCACAGAAAGTCTGTCAACACTCCAGAGCAGCACAACAGATACGGCTCTGTGTTGGGTTCCTCTTTCAGTTCGACCCGTCAGTGAGCTGCAGTGAGAAGAACATAGTGACTCAGAAGGGACTCCTGGAAGTTCACTTGCAGGGTAAATCAAAGGAGCAAGTTAGTGAGCAAGGAATAACTTTCTTGAAGTGGTCTCAATCACGTTGTTTCCATTGTATTCAGCAGAGTACTGGAGTCTTTGTCTTCTGTACAATATCACATTGTCCTTTCCCACCATATCAAGTTTACACCCTTCCAGGCAGCACAGAGCTGTCATGCATCCTCTTCCTTCAGAAGCAGAAGAGGGTGGAGGTACATTTTTCTGGTTTCTGTTTGGAAAGATTTCCATGCGACAGTACATATCTGTTCTTCTGAGAAAATCCAAATCTAACTGGTTCTAAGAGATGACCTCTCATAAAAGTCTGTTTTCCTTATGTTTCCTCTTGAACTGCATTACCCTGTAGCTCAGGATTTCCCTGAGTTACAGTCCTAATGCTGGTTAGACCTGAGTCTAGCAAAGGGTTCCTGTGATACTCCTCATTGTATGAGGCTTGATGTCTGCAAGAAGCAACTTCAGTGCAAAGGCAAAGCAGCAGACTTGATTTAACATCTCCCCCACTCCCTTGGTACAATGTCCTAATTCAGATGGGAATGGGACTGTAGAGAGTTCATAAAGTATAGGAATTGCACCCCTCATTTCCTGTATCTTACAGATTTTCTACAAACTAGAAAAATTATAACATCACATCTATGAAAAATATAAAGATGCTTTCAATATTAAAGGAAATATAACAAAAACTCAAGCTAAAATTAAAGATTTTTTAATGGTAAATATCGTATAAAATTGGGATGCAAGATTATTTCTGTTTCCTTTAAAAATTCAGCATAACCCACCCAACAATTTCTGTTGAATTTCTGTTGAATACTGATGTATTTTTCAGTTTTGAACCTCCTAGCTGTCCAAATGGAGTTTCAGGAGCCTAACGCTTAAGCTTCTGTTTATTAATAGCTTTGTCTTCATTTACAGTAGTATTGGATTGTTGCAGTCAAAAACTCCGTTGTTTTGATTAGGATAAATGTGGGGATCAAAAAGCAGCCTTAGGAGAGAAACTAGAGAGCTTGTTGTTTAGCCTCATAAAATGAAGGCTGGAGGGAAATGTGTAATAGATCTGTATAAATGCATAGCAGAGATGAATGCTAGGGTCAGAAAAGGGGTGGTTAAGCTAAAGGACACTGCTGGCCCAGAGAAAAGGATATTAACTGACTAAATTTAGGCTGGAAAATGCTTCTCTGATGGGAAGAATATTCTTCTAATAGTGTTCTGGAGTTGCCTTTTAATGTCAGCAGCAAGACTCAAGCCAAACCCAATTCAGAGGTAAAGTCTGAATGACTTTCTGAATGGGTTTATATAATCAACTTCCATTAGCAGAGGTCTGCTTTGGAGGCACTTTCTTTTCCAATGTTTAATTTCTCTTTTTTTTTATTCTTTTGTCTGCTTTTCTTTTTTTACTAAAAAAGTGTAAAAGTTTGGAAATGGGGAACTTGAACCATTTTTCTTTAGGACACATTATTTGGTGATTTATGTATGAATTATGTGAATGAAAAGCTTTGCTGAAAGAGTGCATTATTGTTTGGAGTTTATTTCTGGCATTAGGTAAAATGGGTCTTGATTGTATGATGTGCTGTGCTTTGCTACATTCTTGTGTGATACCTCCAGATATAACTGGTAAGGCAACTGAAGGACATACTTACAGAATACAAAAGGACATTTATGTCCCTTCCAATACCCATGTACTTTAGTCAAAAAATAGACTGTTGTTATGACGAAATCTCCTAGATTTGTTGTAATCCGATGTGGTTTGTGGTCATAGTTTAGTAGCTTTGGATTGCTGCCTGAGGTGCAATGAAACAATTCAGGTGTCACAAATACTACCCTGTTTCGAAACAATGACTGGCTTCCTGTGCTCCTTACCTTGAAATGTTTGGAGATATGACTGTTTTGTACGTGTTTCAGGTGATCATTTTTCTGGCAAAACACATAATTTAATGTAAGACTTGCTTTTTTGCTTTTAAGTAGTAAAGTATATATATAAGTGCTTCATGTGTTGCCTAACAATTCATTATTCATGAGTCAGACATTTGAGTTTCTCTGGACTTGACTGCACTGTCTTTTTTCCAGCTTCTGATATGTAACAGCTCATGTTCAGAGGTCCTTGTTGTATGCAGAGCTTGATTAGCCTGCACAAGGTTTTCATTCTTATGTCTTTTGCTGCTCCATTAGCTCCACTGAAGTTGCAATGTTTTATGTAAGCTGTAAGATGTGGCCTGTGAAAGTCCTTGAATGTATGTTGCAAGTCAGGTTCTCTGAATTTAGAAGGAATAATGAGCATTTGGTACTCTTGACAGCGCAAAGCTGTTAGAAAGAAGCGTATGTAGGAATTTGTGCCTGGGTCAGGGGAGAGTTTAAACGATGTACAGATGGTAGCTATGGAAACAATATCCAAGTTTGTCTAGATGGTCATGAGGAAGGTAAATAATGAACAAACTGTATCAATAAATGTACAAGCTGTGCTCAGTTGAGGTAAACCGAATTCACTAAAACAGATGCAGAACTAGAGGTTTACTGGCAGCTCAGTTCTTCTGTTTCTTCAGTGTATGTACAGTGAATATGATCTTAGCCAAGGGTTGTGTTGTACATCTGCCTTGACCCAAATGCTACTGGCTCCAGTATAAATGTTAAAAAAAAAACTAAAAAATAATCTATTTCTTGCCTTCCAGCATAGCACACAAATTCCATTGCTCTTTGGTTTTGTAAGTACAACTGCCCTTGTTTACGATGCTTTTAGCTTTCAATTTTCCCTGGCTCAGCTTGGCTGTGGCAGTTAGCAGTGATTCTGTATGTGTGAGTTTAGGTAAATGGAGCTGGATTAAAATATTTTAGGCTGTCCCCTCTCTCTATCTGCTTCATGCTACTTTCACAAGAAGATGTCAGCTGCGAAATGCCATTGCAAACCTTGCCTCATGCTACAAGCAGAGCTTTATGTGAGGTGTCCAGATGGAATGACTTTCAAGGACATTCAACACAAGAATAAAGACAGAGGTAAAATTAACAACTCAGTCTTTAAACTTCTCAGTTTAGCTTTGATGGGAAAAATTAAGTGGGTTTCAGTATTAAGCTTTTTGCTATTTTTTTTTAATCTGCTCTTTCCATTATTGCTTATTCTGATGGGGGGGGGATGATCAGTAGGGTTCTGCAAATAATTTCTTTGCCATACCTTACTTGATCAACTATTTGATTGAAATACTTGATAAACTGCTTCAAAGGCTTTAACTTGGGGTGGGGTAGTATTTGTCTCACTGAGTCAGAAAACTAAGGCAAATGTTCAACTGGTGTTAACAAGAATATGCTGTTTGTAGAATGAAGCATTTTATTGCCACATCTGTAGATTATTCAAATAATAATATTCAAATATATATTCAAATAATAAATTACCTAGGAAGTGGCATCATGTGAGCTATTATGTCTGGTTTGGTATTTATTTCATAATTACATATTTCTGCAATGTGCAGAAGAATGAATAAGGGAGATTGAAAGCCCCATGCAATCATTAGGTTGTCCAGGATAGCTGTTCTGGAGGCTGAGAGTTCATGTGACCTTCAGCAAATAAAACCTGTCTGTATTTCATTGTAGGGGTCTGCCTAAAGCTACTTCTCTCCATTTACAAACTAATGGATTAAAATAGGTTGTCGTCCATCTTTTTTTTTTTGTGTGTGGTAAGGGTGGATGAGTAGGGTTGACCCAGAAACAGCCATAAAAATGAATTTAAATCTGTATCTGAACAAATTGCCTTTGCAAGTTTGGGTTGAATTTGAGAAAGCTTCAAGCTGAAGCTACATTTCACAGAAATTTTGTGGTTTATGAGTAAGTTTTGCCCAGCTCTCTTTTGTGCAGATCAAAGCGCACCCTGATGTTCGTTCAGTTGTCATCTCAAACACGTAAGTATAGAAAACTGTCTTTTTATATATGTGGCCAAATCAGACTACTAAAAATGTTCTCTGTGCAGTTGTTCTCTAACAGTAATATTTCTTGGGTTATCTCTGACAAAGTAGATACACGTGAAAAGAAAATTTTATAGTTCACGGTAATCATAATAGCAGAGCTCTTGTTCCAAGAATGGGGGCTAATTACCTTCTGAAATTCCAAAAAATCAGCCTGACTATAGTATATTTTACATCATGCGCTAAAGTTATTTTAAGATATGAGCAATTTCAATCATTTTTAATAAAAGCTTTTTGCATGGCACTTTAGGAAATCTGTATATAAGTGGGTTCACAGAATCACTTACTTTGTTGGCATTTGTTCAGCGGGATGCAAATCCTGTTAACTGGCAGCTATATATAGATGCCATAAATGCACAGCCATAATTAACTTTATTTTTCTTTTTAGAAACATCGTCAAAGTGAAATAAAATTCTGTGCATCTTTTTTTGTGGTAATTTTAAATAAGGTTAACTGAGAAGCCCTGGGCAAAGGCCTCTTATAGCAGTCTTCAAAGTTTCATCCATTTGAAATATTGTTCAAATAATTCAACTATTTAACAACAAAATCAATTTAAAAACCATACATCCTTATTTTTTGTTGTTTTCACTCATAAAAGGATTGAGAAATGATTAACAGAGTCCAATGGTAGTGGTGGAGGCAATTAAAGTCATAGTAAAGTATTGAATATTGTGACAAGTTTCAGTGCTTGCAGTGCTTCAAAAACAATCAGTCTCTCAAGGGTCTGATCCTGGTCCCATTCAAGCTGATGGAAGTTCTTCAGTTAATGAAATGAAAAACCAGCACAGACACAAGTTAAAATGAACTTGGTAGCTGGAATGCCGCCTTATATTCTGCCTCAGCAGAGATTAAACATGTTGCCTACCAAAGGAAATGCTTTTCAGTTGCTTGCTAAATTATGATTGTGAAGACTGTGAAAAGGAGTGTTTTAAGTTCTAGTGAGAAGCGTCCCTGTCTTGTGTTTACTTGCATTCAATCTTTGTATGCCTCTGTCACTGTGGGAGGTATACTCATGGGTTTCTTGTGTGCAAGTCAGTCTTTTAG